AGGAGAGTTATTCTCTCTTCTCCCTTTTGAGTCACCACCTCCTAATCTTCCCTTTGCCTTATTGGCCTAGGGTTTTTTCTCATCCCCCTGTCTGTCGGCGCCTTCCTTCCCCTTCAACGGTGATATTTCGGTTTGGCCTTCGAGCACTTTCTTCAACATCTCCTCCAAGATGGAAAATTTCGAATCGAACTTATCATGGATGGTTAAAACATCTTTTTTTAAAACTGAAACTTGAGTTTGGAGATCTGAAATTTCAGATTTCATTTGTCCAATCTCCACTTAGAGGCGTTGCTCCAACGCATCCATTTTCTTGGCCTCCATTGATGCCCGTATTTTTGTAGAAATAAAAATCTGGACCTCAACCTTCAACAACAGCAATTTTCTTCTTCGAAATCCCAAGAGCAGCCATTGAAATTCACCAAAACAGCCCACAAAAGGTCCCAAAAACAGCTCTTATACCAATTTGATAGGAAACACTTGTAGATCTCAAGTATTTCCTATCAATCTTCGGAAAATAACGAGCATTCTACTCAAAAATCCGCCCAAAAATAGGAAAACAGTAGTTAATTTGTATTATTTGATGAAAGGGAAATGAAAAATAGCAAGATACAATTGATCCTCTATTCAACAACAGGATCGATCTCTCCCAAATCTCTAGATGCTGCTAGAGATCAAATGAAAACCTAAATCTAAGAGATCTCAAATTTCAGCCAAATTCAAGATGCCCTAACCCTAGGAAAACAAACGATTTAGTGCATATAATAAGAAAGGAAATCTCTAAACAGTCCCTACATTCAAATTTTCCTCTTAACTCCCTAAGAAATCCTTTCAAATTGGCTCTGTGAAGAATGGACGGTCGGATCCTGCGTACAGGAGGCAGAGACTTCCGTTGAACATCATGTAAGCCGGTCCTGTCGGTGGACCGGTCTAACAAAAATACTCCGACCAACTCCCCAATAATATTTGTTGAAAATTCAGATATTAAATTAAACTTGCTAATTAATTAAATATTATTTAGGCTAATTCATTAAGTATTAATTGATAATTTAACATTATATTAAAATGCTTACTAAAATTTATTTGGAATAAGTTATACTAATTTCTTATTTGCAATGATGCACAGACAAGGATACGACAAGACACGGACAGGGGACGTCAATTATTAAAAATGTAGGATACGAACACAATTGAACACGGCATTATAATTTTTATATTTTAAAAAGTGTATAAAAATGAATAAATATAATATTAAAAATAATAAGTCATTTAATTAGAGTTTTTGCTTAAAATGATTAATATTATGATGTCGAGAGTTGGACGCTTATGTTGTGTTTCAAGCATTGAGAGTAGAGACGTAATATTGTTGAGAGTCAGGCATTGATATTACGTAGTAAGTATCGGACATTGATGTCAAGAGGACGTCTATCGTTGATGTTGAGAGGGCATTGGTCAACGCATCAGACAAAGATGAGTTGTCAAGTTGTGGGTATAGAAATTGCTAGTGTGGAGCATCTAAGTAAAGACAGTGAGACTTTGATGTTAAGATGGTTTTGAAATATTGATGTTATAACGACATCATACGTCAATGTTGAGATGACATTGGAGATTGTTATGAAACCAAAGTTGCGACCCGCCAATGAGAAATGAAAATGAGAATATTCGATGAATAAGATATTGATTGTAGAAGATTGATTTGGTGTTGCGGATCTGAAATAAGAAATTTAGTTTTATATTTTAAATAAATAAAAATTTTAAATGCAAGAACAATAACAATAACAATCCTTTATCCCACTACATGGGGTTGGCTACATGAATCTTTTTTTTTTCCTTTGTGTCTGGTTAAGGGTCAAATAAGGATTCAAGTCATGATTATTCAACCAGTTTTACACTGGCTCTCGACTACCTAACGTAACCCTCCACTTTTTCATCTAGGACTTGGGACCTGACAATTTCATAAAATATTTAAGATATGTGTATCTGACATGCATGTCCTATTTATATTTAATATTTTTTTAATCGAAAACATTTCGACGTGTCTGACATGTGGAGAAGGTGTGTCAGACGCGTGTCATGTCGGATACGTATCAGACACTGAACGGCTATTTGAGGAGAAGAGTCGGTGCATCATTGGTCATTTGTTAATAATTAATATAATAGATTAGCTACTTAATCATGTTAATTCATTAAATGCCTAATTAAGTAAATTAGTAATTGATTATTTGCACATCTAATTATTGATTAATTGTTATGGTAGTAAGATACTATAATTAGTTGTATGCTAATTAATTATTAAATTAAATGATATAGCTATTAGGCACTAATTAATTATTAAGTTTTTAGAAGCCTTATTTGTCAAGCTAATTAGGTATTAATTAACTATTGAGCAGTTTTTCGAATAATAAGGTAATTATTCATACATCAATTCACTGAAGAAATAAACTCTATATATTTAGTAATCAATTAATAATTTGGATACTAAAGTAGCATAATTAATTGGGCTAATCAGGTATTAATTGATTTATGATATAAAATTTTGCAATAAATCTAGTCAATATCATAAGTTAATAGATCGAAAATTTAAATTGTCTAATGTATTAGGTATTACTTAATTATTAACATTGGTAAGGTATCCTTATTAATTATTTAAATAGGATTTAATTAGCCTGATGGATTGATTCTTAATTAAATAAGGACAATTTATGCTTTTATAGTCAAACAATAAATATTCAAATTTCATATTAATTAATACTTAAGAATGTTAAATTACAAGGTGTTGATAATGGAGAGTATTAAGTTGTAAGCTTAATTATGTTAATTCGGGATTAATACAAATAAATATTTAATGATTAGCTACTTGTACGAGTCAAATTGTCATACTTTAATTTTTTATGAAATTTCTTTTTGTTAACTAGATATTAACTAATCATTATGGCGGTATATTTTCTTGATAAGTATGGCTAATAGGTTATCAATAAATAGTTAGAATATTAATTATGCTAATTATTCATGCATTGATTTGTTAATAAATGTTTTTGGAAGGTGAGAGTTTAAGCCCAATTATGCCAACACTTGAACCCGCACCTCATGAATGTCCTTTAGCACCCTTAACCTACCAAGCTAGGGGAGGACGGCTAAATTGGTTATTTTAGTTAGCTTTTGTTGAAAAAATAATCACGATATTAAATTTGTTTTACTTGAATTTAATTAGATGTTCTTTTTATCATTTAATGCTTTTATATCATTATTTTTACAACTAATAAGCTATAACTTTACAAAAGTTACAAGCTATCCTACATATTCATATATGATATCTTCATCAATAATAAATGTAATGGAAATCATCCTTAATCTATTCACCTTAATAATTTTTATTTCAACTCTTCATTTGGATACTATTATTATTATCCATTTTTGCATTAATCATCTGATTTACAATGGCTTGTAACTTTCCTCAAGTTTCTTGAAAATCTCTTTTATTTCTCATTTTTTGCGTATAATAATTGATATTAATCTAATCATATGTTCACTAATAATTTTGTTTTCCAATTCAATCTCCTTGATTTTTAATAGCAAATATAATCTTGGTTATAAAGTTGGTCAAATTTTACTCCTATTTCACTATAAGTACTTTTAATATTAATATGCCAATAATAGCTAATCCTTGCTTATTTTCTTATCACGATAAATCTATTTTATGATGTGTCATATTTGGGCTACATTCTAGCATATGATCACTTTCTCACTGCAATTGGGTTAGTTTTTGTATTTTACTTTTTGCGAACGCTCTTGTTTTGGTAGACATTATATTTCATTGTGGTGTATTTGATATGTTTATTATTTGTCTCAGCTTTTTCCGTTGAAACATGGGATAAAACTTGACACACATAATACAATTATGGGAGAGAGATAAGTTGACGGGTTAGACAAATTAACAACTATTATAAAGAATCTATTTAAGTTATTGTAAAAGATCAAGCATATAAGCAATTCTTGTGTTTGCACACTTTGCATTAGGTGTATAAAAAACAGAGGAAAATCCCCTACGATTTTCATTGACCGTTAAAATTCATATTATAAGTTAAAATTCATATGATATGTCATCAAGGTTCAGTCTTAAGCCCATATCTTTTTGCTTTAGTCATGAATGTTCTCACTAGACATCTGCAAGGTTGTATCATGGTGTATGCTTTTTGCTGATGATATTCTTCTTGTTGATAAGACTAGAGAGGGAGTTGAATGTAAACTTGAATTATGAAGGTCAACCTTAGATTATAAAGGCTTTCGTTTGAGTAGATCTAAAACTAAATATATGGAGTATACTTTTAGTAATAATAGATCTAGTGTAAGAGTGCACGTTTCCAAAATGCAGTAATTTATCTCAAACCGAACACCATTTCTTAACACCCAAAAAAGAATATTTTGTTTATATTCTTTCTCCTTTTTTAATTTCATTTCTTAAAACAAAAATATTGGTGTCGGGCATTGCACTATTCACCTCCAAAATTTTGGCGTGTAATTTAGCGTTCGAATGAAGTCAATACAGTTTGGTTAGCGATGATCTTAAGTGGTTTGGGTGTGCACCGATAAATCAAGTAGATAGTAATTGTGTGAAAGGAATATGAAAAATAGACTTGAACTATCCTAAGACACTTTAAAAAAACTAAGTTTACCACATCGTGCAGAAGAGAACGCTGAGCTTGAATGCATGACTAGGGACTCATATAACTGACCCCCATGTAATTCTGATAAGGCTATCGATGATTATTTTATCATTTCCAATAAAGTGAAAACTGTATGGCCCGAAGTTTTGTTTCTATTAAAATTTATAGTTTCTCTCTGTGTTTTTTTTTGGTGATTTCTACCAGGCAGATTTATGACATTTTATATCCTTATTGCGTATCCTTGGGTTGTATACGTCAACAAAGATATTTGCCACCATATTGCTGTAAATTATGTCATTCTTCTATTGACTTTTTTTTTTTTTTTTAATTTCTTGACAGTGAATTCCATGAAAATTCGGCTTTGCTTATTGTTAGCTTCGGGATCAAGTGTTTGCAATTTCATCTCCTAATTTAAAGATGGTTTGCCGCACATTTTTCTTCCCCTGGCTCCTACAGCAATCTCCATCTTTCTAGTCACCTTGGGAAATGCATCTCTATTGTATTACCAAATTCTTTTGTAATTCGAACTAGTGCTGAATTTTGGGCTTGTTTAGAAATTTTTTGCCCATGCAGGGAAAATTGCTCAAATTGTCTGGTAACGCTGGCAATTTCACTTAGTTTAATGTTGTACAAACGCCATCCATAAGTCCTTTAATGCAAATATTGTATAGTGAACATTAATCATTAAATCTTCTGCAAAAATGATTTGATGTTAATTGAAGAAGTGTGCCATGAGGCATAGCAGGTCTCTCTCTCTCTCTCTCTCTCTCTCTCTCTCTCTCTCTCTCTCTCTCTCTCTCTCTAACATGTAGGAGGTGGATTAGGATGGGTTGTAACTAGAACCTTCTTTTGCTTCTGAAACAGAGAAGAAGGGCTTTAATATGAATTATTTCCCTCAATTACAGGTTTTTTGATGTGTTTATCTAGTTTGTGCCTATAACGAGATCCACTTTTTACAATAAGAGTATTTGTGCAAACAATCATCTTTTTGTTTTTGGTTAGTTTTTTTCTTAAGCAGGCAAAGTATGGCTGTGCAGGCTCCACGAGTTCAAATCAAATTTTAATTTGCCAGAACTTGGTGATTTGTTCTTCATATTTCCATGTTTCCAGAAGAGGATTTGGTACAGGCTCGAATTTTTTCTCTTCCAAATCCCAGTTTTGTAGGTCTGCAGGTATGGTGCTTTTGTTTCCTGTATGCAGGCTTCAAAGGATTCTTAATCAAATATTAGTTTTATGAGGCTATTTTTCTATTTTCTTTTTGAGATCTGCTTGTTAATGATGTAAAGATGTATATTATTGAATTTTTTTAGTACTTGATTTATTGCAAAGCTATTGCATTTTGGTTTAAAATCAGACCTTTCAAGTTTCTGGAGCATGATAAATGTGACCTCTTCAGCCAGCACCAATTTTTCAGTGCAAAATGAATGCAATATGTTGAGGTAAATCCATTTTGCTTTATTTTTCCATATAATTTAAGATCTATGTGATTTCACTGTGGCTTTGTTTGGATTAGCTTTTTAACTACTTATGTGATATGATGAGAAAAATAGTTAGTAAAAAAATACATATATGAATATAGATTAATTTTAACAGCTTTATTAATATGCGGTGTGTTTCATTTTGTTTGAGATGGTTGTTGTTTTTTATAAAGATGGTTGTAAACTTATTGTGGAAAAATTAAAAAAAAAAATTGCTGTAATAAATAGGTTTTTAGCATAAAGATTTATTAAAAATAATGATGAAGTAATGGTCAAATAGAAATTGTGAAACAGTGATATGAAAAACAAAGTAATAAGAAAGTTGCTCTAAGTATTTTTAGAGACAGATGAGAGAATAAAAAAAATTAAGGTTCGGAGGTTATAGAATTATTTTTGTCAATCGGTTTATTTATCGAATATATTGATTTAATTTTTATTTTTGTTATCAACAAAATAAGAGTAATTTTGCACTAGGAAAACAACGTAATTTTTTATATGTTATTGAGATTAAGATTTTGAATATTTTTTAGAATTTTAAATTGGATTCTTTGGAATTTATAAGATTTTTATAAATTAGAAAATAATTCACTTTGAAAAATAATATTATAGTAAAATTAAAATCTTAAATTAGTGTTTTGCATAATATGTTATAATTTGATTATTTTTTAAAATTGTGCATTTTTGTTTTGTAGGGTTTTTATGTTACCTACTGCTATTACATTTTGGTGAATTCTGAAATATATTTTTTATGAATTAGTTATTTGTTATTTATTGAAATATGTGCTTAATAAGTTGAAATAGGTTATACTCTGGAAATCAAAAAGGGGTGGGAGAGCTTTTGTTCAAATGTATATTCTGTTTCAGAGATATTGAACTATGTTTGATACTCAAGAGTTGTAGAGCTCTCTCTATTATTCAAAGTTGATGAACTCTGTCTGTTACTCAGAGTTTTTTAACTCTATTTTTTGGAAGGAAAATATGAAATGCTTATGTATTTTGTCTAATTTTTTATAATTGCATTTAATTTTTTGCTCAGTTCCACTTCTAATATTTAGTGGATGTTTAATAAATGAAATGATTTGAGAATTTAGATCACTTGAAATGTGGTCTACTATGTTGTTTTAGCTCGTTGTGATTTTGCATTATGTTTCCAGGATCTAGGAAAAAAAATGATATGGTAGAGTAACAGTTTCAGAAATTTGATGCGAGTTTATAAGTATTTCTTATTTTAATTTTTACACAGTTATGACTAGTTTTATTACTCTGATTTGTAGATTTTGTTTATAGCCACACCCGGTGATTATATGTCATTTTGATGATAAAGTAAAAAACAATTACTTTGGATGAGTTTATTTTCAACCCTTTGGATGTTTTAGTAGTTGTAGCCTTTTGTTTGTTTTAAGATGTATATTGGAAGAAAATTAAAAAAAAAAATTATGTTGTCATAGCTTAGCATGATAAGATCTATACCATTTGGGGGTCTTGCATATTGGGTTGTGGCAAGCTTTTAAGCTTTTGAAGTGGGATGGTTGTAATTGTTCATAAAAAAAATTGTGGAATTAATTTAAGGAAATGCTTTGAGCATTTTTAAACACTGCCGTTGCCAGGTCCCAAGTCCTGGATGAGAAAAGTGGAGGGTTGCATTAGGTAGTCGACAACCAGCGTAAAACTTGTCGAACAATAATGACATGAATCATTCAAAAAATTGTGTTAATGCTAGGGCATCCCTTGGAAGCAACGCACTGTATGGCCTGAATACAATGACAAGTGTGCAAGGGCCGCTGCATCGACGCCCGAGTGCAGTGTTAAATAGGCAAGGGTTCCCACATCAAGGACGGATGTGGGCAAAGAAGCTAGTCCATGAAACTAAAATTAGGATAGGAACTTGGAATATAGGTTCTCTTACAGGAAAATTAATGGAATTAATAGATATTATGATTCATAGGAAGTTAAATATTTTGTGCATTCAGGAAACTAAGTGGGTTGGAGAGAAGGCTAAGTAAATTGATAGTTTATGATTTAAACTTTGGTATTCGGGTAGGAGTCGTACTTGAAATGGTGTAGGTGTTATTTTAGATAAGAATTTAAATGATAATGTTATTAAAATTAATAGGATTGGAGATAGAATTATAGCTTTAAAGATTGATGTTCATGATAAGATTGTTAATATTATACGTGTTTATGCTCCTCAAGTAAGTTTGGATATGAGTTCTAAATTAAAATTTTAAAATGACTTAGAAGAATTAATACAAAAGATACCTCTTGAAGAAAGAATTTTTATTGGAGGAGATTTAAATGGACATGTTGGTAGAGAGGTAGATGATTTTAAAAACATTCATGGTGGCCATGGATTTGGAATGACGAATGAAGGTGGCAAGACCATATTAGATTATTATTTAGCTTATGATTTTTTAATTGCTAATATCTTATTTAAGAAAAAGAATGAGCATCTCATCACTTATAAAAATGGATACAGTACAACCCAGATTGACTATTTTCTTATTAGAAGATTAAATTGTTTAGATTGCAAAGATTGTAAAGTTGTTCCGAATGAAAATTTATGTACCCAACATCGATTATTAGTTTTGGGCTTAAAGATAAATGAGCATAAAATAAAAAATAAAGTAAAACATTTTTCTAGGATTAGATGGGGGCATTTAAAGAATATTAATAAAAATATTTTTTAGAGAAAGATTTTAGATCTTAAGATTTTGTCTGTGCATGAGGATGTTAATATTATGTGGAAAAACGTGACTAGTGATATTAAGAATATTGCAAAAGATGTGCTTGGAGTATCAAAGGGAAAAGCTTCTAATAGTAAAAATAGTTGGTGGTGGAATCCAATTGTGCAAAAAAATATTAAAAATAAGAAAATTTGTTATAAAAATTAGTTTAATTTTAAAAATTCTGATAATTGGGAAATATATAAAGTGGTTCGTAAGGATTCTAAGAAAGCAATATGCCATGCAAAGACATTAGTTTTTAGTAATTTATATGATAGATTAAATACTAAGGAGGGAGAAAGATATATGTATAAGTTAGCCAAACAAAGAGATATGAGTAGTAAGGATTTAGTTCATGTGAAGTGTATTAAGGATGAAGATCAAAAAATAGTTTTCTTATAAGATGATATTCAATAAAGGTGGATGAGATATTTTGTTAAATTTTTTAATGAAGATTGTGAAAATAAGATTGACTATAGTGACCTTGGCACCCTAATTGAAAATAAAGATTTCTGTTTTTATTGGCGTATTAGTAAAACTGAAGTTAGAGATGCTTTAAAGAAAATGAAGGGTGGAAAAGCTATTGGACTTGATGATATTCCAATAGAGGTGTGTAAATGCTTAGGAGATGAAGGGATTTCTTGTCTTACTAAACTTTTTAATACTATTTTGAAGACTAAAAAGATGCCAGATGAATGGAGAATGAGTGTGTTAATTTCTATTTTTAAGAATAAATGTGATGCACAAGATTGTACAAATTATAGAGGTATTAACTTAATATGTCATACTTTAAAACTATGGGAGCGAGTTATGGAGCATAGGTTGCAGCGTGATATTAATGTTTCTCAAAATCAATTTGGATTCATGCCGGGTAAGTCAAATATGGAGGCCATACATTTATTAAGAGGTTTGATGGAGAAATATAGAGAAAATAAGGAGGATCTACATATGATATTTATTGATTTAGAAAAAGCATATGATAAAGTTCCAAGAGAAGTGCTATGAAGAGTTCTTGAAAAGAAATTAGTCAATAATGATTATATTCAAATCATTAAAGATATGTATGCATGAGCTATTACTTGTGTTCAAACACAAGGTGGTTTGTTCCAAGTATTTCCCTATTTCGGTTAGATTACATCAAGGATCAGCCTTAAGCCCATATCTTGCTTTAGTCCTGGATGTTCTCACTAGACATTTGCAAGAGGATGTACCTTGGTGTATGCTTTTTGCTGTTGATATTCTTTTTGTTGATAAGACTAGAGAGGGAATTGAAGGTAAACTTGAATTATGGAGGCCAACCTTAGAGTCTAAAGGTTTTTACTTGAGTAGATCTAAAATGGAATATATGGAGTGTAATTTTAGTAGTAATAAACCTAGTAAGGGGATTGTGACTCCGGGCGATCAAGTCATTAATAAGAGTACACATTTTAGATATCTTGGATCTATTGTTCAGAGTGATGGTGAAATAGATGGGGATATTATCAGCAGAATTCAAGTTGGATGGTTGAAGTGGAGGAATGCATCGGGCTTGTTATGTGATAAAAATGTACCCCTCAAACTTAAGGGAAAATTTTATAAGATGGTAGTGATGCCTACAATGCTTTATGGTGCCTAATGTTGGCAATTAAAAGAGAAGCATAATACTAAGTTAAGTGTGGCAGAGATGAGGATGCTCAGGTGGATGAGTGGCTTTACCCTTAGAGATAGGATACAAAATGAACATATACGTGAAAAGGTTGGAGTAGCTCTAGTAGAAGATAACATTAGAGAGAGTCGCCTTAGATGGTTTGGTCACATAAAATGGCAGCCTTCCGATGATCCGGTTAGGAGAGTAGATGTATTAGATTTGACTTGTGTTAAGAAAGGTAGGGGTATACCTAAAAAGACTTGGTTAGAAAATATTATGAATAACCTTTCTTTATTAGATTTAAACGAGAATTTGACTTTTAATAGGACACAATGGAGAAGAAGGATTTATGTAGCCGATCCCACGTAGTGGGATAAAGGCTTGATGTTGTTGTTGTTGTTGTTGTCGCTTTGAGCTTTTTTATTTTATCAAAAGTTAGAAAATAATGTTACTATAATTATCATTTTATTAAAAAAAAATTATATTGAATTGACTTTCATTAAAAAAATATTTAAACATTACATTTTATTCCTTAAAATTAAGGCTTAATTTTTTAATCTCTTCTGAATTTAATTATTTTTGTAATAATTTAATTATGTTTAAGGGTTTTGAAGTAAAAAAATAAGTTATTAAATAGCCTTATTTTAATTTAAAAGATATCGAGATATCATACGAAATTTCAATATATATATAATCACAAATTTTTATTTGGATTGAAACCTATGGGGTTGCTTGGCTGTATGTAGAAGTAATTATGGCTTTCTTTGGGATATTATTTTTATTAGTTTGTAAAGCTATTTTTTATCACAAAAAATTTTTAAATTTAAATTTTTGTACAGGAAGTTACTTAAGAAAACAGTAAAATGTTGTTTCAAACGAAGTCTAAGGATTCCTTTGTGACGACCTTTTTACTGATTCTTAAAATAATTTTTTAGTACAAAAATAAAAAAATTTTGTACTAAAACCTGCTTTAAGAATCAGTAAGAAAGTCGTCTGAAATAAAGCTCAAATTTATATACATTAAATAAAATAAAAATATAATATAAGTTAACCTAAGATGATAACTTTTAATTAATTAATTTTATTAAGAATAATTAAATTAGTACAATTAAATGAATTTAAAAAATTAAATCGAGAAAACTTTCATCAATTTTCTTTATATTAATTAAATTATATCTAACATAATGTTATCATGATTAATTATTCTTTAGTAATTTATAAAATTAATCAAATATAATAATTCTTTTCAGTCAAATTAAACCCTATTGTATACTTTTATTATTTAATTAATAATAATTTAAAAATTAATTACAAATTTAAATTAATATTAATAACTTAAAACCCTGGCCCTCTTGCCCCAAATCCCCATAATCCCAAATTATTGAAACCTGAAGAAATTGCAACGGCCTACGGGAGCTCATTAAAGAAGGCATTGATGAGATAAGTGACGAGTGTAGAAGAAGAGGGGGTCATTAAACTTTGTTAAATATGCAATAGTAGGATTTGCTATAAACCTGATTTAAGGCAAAATATACGGGAAACAAGAAGCGGTGTCAATTCAGGTTGACAAGTCGGGCTCGGGTCGAACCCGAATTGACCTGGAGCTAAACGGGTCTACCCAAACCCAACCCGTTTAGTTATACAGGTCCACTTCCTGAACCCGGACCCGACCCGCCAACCTGACTTTTTTATTTTTGGCAATTTTTTTAATTAAAAAAATAGAAAAATTGCATAAATTCTAAAATTCTAAAATTCAAAATGAAATGAAACAATAAACAATAAATGAATAAATTTTGTTTGATTACGTACATTTAAAAAACACATTAAAAATTACAAAAGCATTATAACATTTTTAAATTGTAAATACATAAATTTTCTATAATACATTACAATTTACAAATACAATTGGTCAAGTAGTCAGCTGTTTTGCTGAATTTATGACTTTGAGATTTGAATGATTGCATATGTAGTCATTCACTCATTCATCTCATATGAACATCTTAGAATAATCAATGAATATGCAACAACAAATAATTAAAAACCACAACCTCAATGTGTTAGGGCTCAGGGCCTCAGGCTCAAAATGAACCTAGTGAAAACTAAAGAATCATCATCTGAAAGCCTGCAACAATTTCAAAAAATGAGCTCTCCAAGATTACAAATTGGGAATACATATTTCATAATTTTAGTAAAAAATGTGGGGCCGATCATACTCGCTAATCTCCAAATTCTAGAACAATAAAACAAGTTCACTGTTTATAGGAGCTAGTCAGCAATTGGTCAAACAACTCAAACCCTAATCTCCACTCTAGAGTTAAGAACAATATAACAACTTAACAAATCACAACAACATTGTGTATTTGTGTAATGACAGAAAACTAGAAAAGTATAAAACCATATTCTTCAGACAAGAAAAATGAAAAACCTAATCTCCTGAGTCAAGACCCGTAGATGGCAGACTGACATGTTACATGTCAATAATATATAAAACAACAAGAGTGCAATGGTACAAGACACTAATACAACAAACAATGAAACTCACTTATTATTTCAACATCTAAACCAACAAAATGAAAAAAAACCCTAATCTACAAATGCATTTCAACTTCAATTTAAAATCCCAAAATCTAGATGGATAAAGTGTGAAAAAATAGAAGAATAGATATTGTATCAGAAGTTGAAATCAGCAATACTGAAGGTCCGAATTGAAACCAAAGTTAGTCATGAGTTTATTGATTACAGACCGTGGCCAACTGGCGTAGGGTAAGGCGGGAAGCCTAACTGCTTATGCTGGAGGAAATCCAAATTCCAAATGGTGCGAGCTGCGAGCTGCGAGCTAAGCTACGACTATGAGACTGCGGGTGAAACTATGAAAGATGAATTGAGGAAGCGAGAAACCCTACCTCAAAAATCCCTGAAATGATAGACCTCGTAAAATGCCGCAGACTGAGTCGTATAAAGTCATATTAAAGCCTTTTAACACGGGTCGGTTTCGGGTCACCTTTGAGTTAACGGGTTGACCCGAACCTGACTAGAATTCTATACAGGTCCATAAATTAGACCCAAACCGACTCATTTTTTTAACGAGTTGACCCGAACCTGAATTTTTTGTGTCGAGTTCGAGTTGGGTTTTCATGTTGTGTCAGTTATGAACACCCCTATAAATAAGATTTAAGATTCTATAGCATTAATGTTGTCATAATTGTTGTTTGATAAGATTTAGGTTCAATCTTGCTAAAATCCTGCTGCATAATAGCGCATAGCGCCTTAAAGTTATAATTTTGGTCTTTCGTAAGATTTACGTTAAACCTTGCTTATATCCTGCTAAAATCCTTCTAACAAATAGCCTACGGGGCTGTTTGGCACCAAGTGGGATTTAATTTTAGTGGGATTGAATAAATACCGCAAATTCAGATTTAGTAAATATCTAATTAATTAGTTAATTTTTAAAATAACTAATTATTTAATTAATACTCATACTAATAATTTAATTAATTTAAAGTATTATTTAATTAGTTTTAATTATTTATTGTATTATTAATGATCTCATTAATCATTTAAATATTTTAATAAAAAAATTATTTAATTATTATTTATAATAGTAAGTAGTAATTCTTCTATTTAAAATTATATTTAAACCTACTAATTATATTAAAATTACATGTTACTTTACTAATTATTTAAATATTATTTAATTAATTTTAATTATGCATTATATTATTAATTATCTTATTAACCACTTAAAGAATTCTACTACCCATTATGAAATAATTGGCTAGGGTTTTCCTTGCTGTTCGGCTTCGTAGCTTCGCAGGTGTAGAGATTGCACGCTTCTTCGAGCTCCTTCGTGGCTGTTCGACTACGCTCCTTCGACGACTTTCTCTTCCTGTCGGATCGGAAGAGCTCGCCAAATCCCGTAAATCCGCCAAACCGAGGGATTTAGTAAATCCCGGATTTATGCCGTAAATCCTTAAGTCCGGGATTTATCCATCGCCGAGATTTAACGCGCGCACAAAAACAGTTTGGCTGGATTTAGCGTAAATCCCGCTGTAAATCCGATAACAAACAGCCCTTAGGCTAGCTCGCACTTCAAACCACGCAGAGAAAATTAATGGGGCTTGCTTCGCTGCCACCTCGTCAGGCGCCGCTCGTGCCTCAGCAATGGGCTGATGCCTTGGATGCCATTTCAACCTCTCGAAGTCCACCTATAGCCGTCATCTGCGGTCCCAAGAACAGCGGCAAGTCGACCTTCTCGCGTCTTCTCCTGAACAGTCTCTTGGAAAGGTTTTTGATCCCTAATACTTGTTTTGGTTATTTCATCCTTTTAAGGATTAGAAGCTGGTTACATAATTAGCCTGTGGGTTTTGAATGGTTATGAAGGTATGGTATAGTGGGTTACTTGGATACCGATGTGGGTCAGCCGGAGTTCTTTGTGCCAGGTTGCTTATCCCTTCATCTTGTAGACGAATGCTTACCGGGTTAGTTTTCTTCTGTTTTTTTTTTTCTGTCTTTTCTTATGGCCAATTTCGTTAGAAATCATGTTTTGAAAAATGATAATTTGCTAGAATCCATTATTAGGTTGGATGTAGTTAAAATATAATATTAGTTTTAAACTCTACTAGAACTTTCAAAATCTTTGAAATTTGATTTCATTTTCATATATGAAACTTATTTTTAATCGTCAAGTAACTAATTAAGCTGTTAAAAAGGTTACATGGATTATTTGAATTATTGCTACTCCAGTTTTTGAAGGTTTCTTTAATGTGATTGCAGATTTGATGAAGACTCCCATGAGAGAGCCTGAGAGGTGAGTTAGTGAATATGGGGATAACCTTTGTCGTTTTTGAAAGAAACTAAATTAAGCATAGTAAGATTTTTATTAATTAAAGAAGTTTACTCGTGTGTTTCCGTAAAGAAATGTTTTCTTTTTTTCTCCCAATTTAACACGGTTGGCATTAGGAAAAAGATTTGTCATGCATGGGGTGTGTGACGTTAATGGCTAAAGTTCATTTACTTTATATCTACAATGTGCATCACGTGTATGCTTAGATTTTTTTTCCTTGGTACAATACTCATAACTTGGAAATTATATAGTTTTATTTATTGTTTTGACCCTTAGGGAAGATGTTTTAGTTAGTTTTTACATTTTTTTTTAGATTTCTTGGTTCCTTTGCCTCTTTTGGTTATAGAGAAAAGGCATGAATTCCTTGTAGATCTTAACTAATATCTGAGGAACTATATAAGTTTTCTATGCCTCTTGTTTTAACTGACTAAAATGTAGAATTATGACATAATTTGTATTTTTTTTTTGTCCCCACTGCAGACAATCAATTGTCTGTTCACATTAGTACTCTTTTGCTATTTAAAATTTTATTATGTGCTATAATCGTTAATTTTTATTAGGTAGAAACTTGCATGCATTAGATTCATCCAAATAGCCTCTTTGTCCAGAATACCCATTTTAGAAAAATAATCACTCTTGCTTACTAGTAAACGGATTTGGAGGGATTAATTACTGTAAACTAGCCTTCCTAGAAAACAAGGCAAGGATGCCATGTAATTACTTGGAAACTGATTAACCTTGTTCCTTCTAATTGATATTTTACAACAGAATCATTGTGTCTTGATTATCTACTAAAAAATTTCTCTAGGTTCCTTATTAAAAGGATTTGTATCACTACGTGTTTGGAGAGGATACTTGAGTTAAATTCTTTGATTTATAGGCGAGCTTGAAGAAAACCACATTTATAATTGTCCTAAGGTCAAATCTCTCCAGTCCATGGTGCTCAGGGTGATTATTAGGCATACAAGTATAGTGGTATCTTTTGAGCTCTCTTTATGCCAGTTTGCTACCTACCCATATGTTAATCAATCTTTTGTCTTTCAGGTGTATCTTCTCGGGTGATATATCTTCAAAAAGAGACCCAGAAGCTTATATAAATTACATATTCCAACTATATGACTACTTTCTTGAGAAGTTTAATCAGTCAGATGACGCCGATAGTCATAGAAAAGCTTTGTTACCTCTAATTATTAATACTGCTGGGTGGGTGAAAGGTAGTTTTTTTCTGTACTACACTAAATTGCATATTTTTGTAATTTTGCAGAAGAACGTGTCTTTGGTCATGGAAAGTGCATAAATACTTATGTTTGTTGCTTAATACTACGTGTCTATTTAGCTTGTGGTAATGCATTTCTATTTTTCTAGGTACTGGATTTGATGTTCTGGTGGAACTCTTGAAATATATATCTCCCACTCATGTTGTTCAGATGCGCATCTCAGTTGAGAGTAAGAATCTTCCAACTGGGGCATTTTGGTTGAGTGATAAGAAAAGGGGATCTTCAGAATTAATTGAACTTGCAACAGTTTTTAATGATTCATTCAATCGATCGTGAGTACCTACTCAACATTAATTTTATTTTAAATTTCATTCTATTTAAAAAAAAAAAACATTTGCATAGATTTGGGTGAGTTCAAGGAGAAAATTGTGCATTTATTGTACCTTTATTTTTTAGTTGTAAATGCCTTATTAAATTGTGGAACTATTAACAATTAGGGTGTTTAACAAATTGATATAGAGCCGATTTGACTCTACGTTAAGATTGGTAAAAATTCATTCGATTTGATCTTAAGCTGAGTTGAGCTTGTTTGTATGCCGGCTTGATCAAACTTGATTTGAGCTAGACACAATTAATGTCAATTTAACCTCAATTTCGGATAAAATCAATTTAATCTTAATTAATTTTTTACCTCCTAATATAAATTATTAGTCCAACATACATACATGCATCCAATCAATAGATGCATATTGACATTAATTCAAATATAAACAATTACATAACCATATTTTTATATGCACACTCATAAATATATGTTTTACATGATATGCATTTCAATTAAATCTTGAACTAACTGTGAAGTAGCATACTATCCTCTTTGGTTGCTAACTCAATTACTAACAAAAGTTTTTTTTTTTTTCATATAAAATGAAATCAAAAGTCTATCAGCAAGGTAGACCAGTCTGGGGATCTAGCTTCATAGCTAGAATCTTGCTTATATGAAAGTAGAACACACTTATCTTCTCTTGCATTGCATGAAGATGATTGATGTGTGCATTAAGGTTGTTATCTGGCAGTGCACTTCAAGCGAGTGAAATTCCAGGTGTATTTAACCTCTCAAACTTTCTTTAGGAGGGATTTTTTTGACCTTTCAAAACAAATTTTATAAATTTAAAATAAATAAATAAAGTATTTTCAAAGTGAATAGTTAAATAAAAATAATAGATATTTTAAATCTAAAATAAGTATAGTCTATACTTTAATCAAAAAAATTTCTCCTCAGAGATGTAACTAACTGCAAAGGCTTGCCTCTATGAAAATCTAAGGACCTAAATTAAAATAAATTGTTTTCTCGAAGCAGTCGAAAAATTCTTTGGACGCAAATTAAAGCTAATCCTTGGTTAATTTCATTTTCAAAATGATAGGTAAATGCAAATTTTATCCTTCAGGATGAATTAATATTCCTTATGCTGAGTTTGATTATGAAAATAAATTTATTTCTCTTTTAAAGTCAATAATATAACATTAATCTATCTCTCAAGATATTATAATGTCAGCTATGCGGATTTGATTAAAAAATTAGTATAGCAAATTAGTGGTCATGCCATTTATTTTGTACACACTCCTCAACATGTAATAATCCAGTGCATGATTCGCATAACTCACCAATTGAATACAACTCCAAAGAATTGTCAATCAACATCATTTGAAAAGCTTACTAATCATTCACTATATACATTTTGGCCGACTTCTTTAGCTTATTCACTTTATATCTATCATCACATAAGATTCCTTTTGTCAATACTCGATGTATGATTTTCTCTAATCTACTACAACGATAAAGGTACATTACAATATATTAACCATCCATGCGCATTTCAAGCTTTTGTACTCATGCCAATATTAAGTCAATTGTCAAAAATTGACTTTGCAATCTTTAGTTATATACAAATTAACCAATTTTATTGTCTGACATACCAAATCTTGAACATCTCATATATCTTTGTTGCATGCACTATGAACAATCTAATTGAGGGTAAATGAAAAGTCCAATGGCTTGAACACCTATTAAACCTACAGCCTTGAACAAACAATAAGTACAAAAAAAATTAATGAGTGGGGGTGATTAATATCTCAAGAACTCGGGAGAAACTTTGAACAGATAGGCCAACACATTATTGCATCAATATGCATCATCAAAGTATTCACACTCAGATGACTATGATATTGTTACATACTATAAGAAGTTTATGAGTCATGGTTAACGATAAAATAAGATATGCATACCTTAATATTAACCAGAAAATATCCAGCACCTCTCCAATCTTTTAAATGGCTCATAATACTTATTAAAGATTAGGGAAGCCAAAAAAAATTTCTACTGACCTGACAATAGTGATGCATAACTTTTACTTCAGAAAAGTGAATTTGATAAGGAGGAATAGAAGCCAACTCATGGGCAAACTCCTTGTTAGTGTTGATGTTTAGACTACTAGAAAGCATCGCTTGAAATAGTCAGAAAGTCTAAACTCTCGCATGTTATGTGCAGTTTTTCGCATTAACACCCTACAAAAAGCATATGATAGACTCAATCACATACAAAAGATTAAATAAAAAATGGTAATATCTCACTGATTCAAAATTTACTATAATTTCAAAATACGATAATATATTTTATTGCCACTTTTTGAACAAGCTGAGCTTATGGATTTATATAAAAAATAAGTAGGCATATATCAAGATAAAACAAGCTAAAAAACTCAACTAACTACAGCTATTCCAAACTAGTTTCAGCAGAAAATCACAATTGAAGTGCTTGTTATTTTTTTAATTGAAACAATAAAAGATATGATGAGTGTAGTTGATCATAATGGTAAACCAGTCTAGTCGGCCCAAAATTGGGCCAACCCCTATTTTACAACTAGTGCAGGCCACTTGTTTCGCCCCGCTAGCAAATTAGGTCCATGGGGCCCACGACGTGAAAGGGAAAGAGGGGATTAGGCAAGATAAGGTGGGAGCTGATTGATGGGGCCCACAGTCGAAATTGAGAAGCTTGTTTGGCATGATGGAGGGGGTGGCTAATTAAAGGAGATCCCTTACCTAAATTAGAATTCTAATTTAGGCAAGATTCCCGTGGGTTGGAGGGTTATGCTATTATTTTGTGAGAGTTCTATTTTTCTTAGGATCTTATTGCTTGATCTCTAGTGGCGTCTTGAGACTTAGGAGAGATCATTCCTCTTCTCGAATTGAGGATCAATTATATCTTTCTTCTTGTTATTTGTTTTCCTAGCAATAAAATCTGTTTGTGTTGAATTCATTCTATTCATGGGCTATTTTTGATACCAAGGGGGATCACATAACTTACAGAAAAAGTCATTTTTATCTCTTAAAGGTTTTTAAGAAGGGTTATAGTGCATTGACATGCCTTCTAATCTGCACAACAACAAAAATCGTATATTTCTGTCAATGTTTTTAAAATAAATTGGATTTCATCTAAAGTCACAATTGATACAATCTGATGTTGCAAATGCACTAATTGCCTGGCTAGATTGTATCTAATTAATAAAACTCAGTGCAGCTCAATCGTACGTCCCAAATACCTCTTCTGTATCCTATTAAAAAAACAGAAAAATAATAGAAATTTGAAATCCTTATAGTTTTGGATAACTTTCTATTCAAGCCTTAGATCAAACATTATAGGCAATAATGGCATATATCCATGAGCTTCATGAATGAAGACACTGAATGATAACCTTATAACCATGTTATTTATCCCCTTAACTCATAATGACAACGTACCTTATAAATCCTCATTCTCTATTTGCTCATGTTGAGTGTTATATGATGAGTTAAAACTAATTTTGAGCATTTTTTTCGGCATAACGTCCACACATGTTACCTTTTAATTTTCCACTTTCCTTTCTCATACTTCAACATTAATTTTATTGATGCAACTTAAACCCTTTGTTGTGCATGCTCAAATGACTCAAGTATACTTTTCACTAATCCATCTTCAAAAGAACCTACAAACCATCCTTCTAATACAAAATTTCCCAATCATGATTCGTAGTTTTGACACATTTATCTAAACATTCACATCTTCTTTAGCATCTGAACAAACCCATTCAACAAAACTACTTGATTGTAATTTTATAAGTTTACATCAAATCTTCGTGATATTCTTTTATTGTATAGTACATTAGATAAATTTATTTTAACCACTCAACTTAATTCTAGAAGTTATATTATCATCTATAATCCTTACATCTGTATAATAGCTCCAGTATATATGAACCTATGAGTCATTTGTGTTATGCAATTCAACATGAAAATGGGAGCATTCATGAAGATATTCTAAAAGTTATATCATCATCTATAATCTTTACATTTGTATAATAGCCCCAATATATATGAACCTATGAGTCATTTGTGTTATGCAATTCAACATGAAAATGGGAGCATTCATCAAGATAAATTTCCTTGACAATATCTCACCCATCTATTGCTTTATCTACTAGTAACATTGGTTAATACTTATTAATATAACACTCAGTAGCACATCAAACCAAACGCACAATCATTCTTTCATTAATCCTAAGATATCTTATCTTCCAAACATTTTAACCAATATTTTACTTTTTTAAGTTATTTCAATTGAGGTCTCACCAATTACAATTATATAATCTACAAATATAATATTATGATTGGAATCTCAATAATAACTCCACAATTACTTTTAATATAAATAAAAAATCCCATCATGCATATTTTAAATAGCATCATCCAACTTTAACACATTTTTTGCTTAATAATTATCATAATCTTCGACATCAATTTGTTCTAAATACTGATATAAAATTCTTCTACTTCAACTATTTGCCCAAACTTAATCAACAAAAGTCCATTGAAAAGATCCAAGCTAAGCAAACCACTAGTATATCACCCTAACTCTTTGAATCTCAATAGGTAAAGTACATTATCAAGACCTAAAGCTTAATCTTCAGGCTTCTTCATCAAAAATAGCTTCATCTCACTTCTCCAAATTAATTTATAACAGACCTCATTATTCTTTTCAAAAACGATTTCTTCATTAAAACTCTCATTTTCTCAAAATAGAGCATTATCATCTTCCTAAGATATCTTCATCTTTGACTAAGATCCTACAAACATCATTAGTAATGCGTCTAACTTAACCAAGTTTCTAGATTTATTACTTTTTGTCTTAAACTATTTTATATATCTCATATTTTCTTCCTTGTTATTTATCATATTATATAAATAATGATAAGTTGTGGCATCTGCTTTGCTTATTACCCTCCAAACAAGATTCCTAACTACTAATAATAATTATAGGCCCAAATAGTATCTAACTTTAGCTACTACTTAAAAATACATTTCTCACCATTAATATTTTTTTGCATCTCCTCATTTTACCAAACAGGCTCATTACCGATTTATAAACTATTTCTAGATCTTTTAAATTTTTTATAAAAGTCTTCTTACGATAACTAGCCATCCTATCTCAAGTTTGGCTCAATTAAAGAAGTCTAATTTATTGTTCTTAGCAACCTATCTTGAAAGATTAATTATTTCTTATATTATAACTTTCATAATTTAAACTATGACCAACTATTTCCTTTCATTATTTTCTTCATAATTCTAAGATATATATCTATAACCAGCCTTTTATGTTGTGTAGTCTTACATTCGGAATCATCATATAATCTTACCTAAGAAAATAGTTTGTAATTCTGAGCAAAAAAAGTAAGCAGCCCATTTGAGATTTTGTGACTCCACTTTTGAAAGTAATACTAAGTGTCCTCTCATTTTATTTTATATTTATTCTCGATTGCACATTTACTAGTATAAAATCAAATAAAACTTCTTCCATCACATTTCTATGTCCTATTGCATGCTAATCATGAATCCTCTAATAATTCATTCTAGTAAATATTATATGTATATTAAAATCACTTTCAATATATTACCCTTTCTTCCATGGGCATATTTTATAAGAGTTAATCCTTCTCTTACAAAAATTTGGTCATCAAAGTATCTTTTCAACCAAATTTGGGAGCATAGACATAAAATAAATAAATAATGCCATCAACAATACTTGGCAAAATAGAAAACTCCCTAGCACTATCAATATTCACCACAACAACTAACATCTTTCAACTCTATATCCACTGCAATCTTACTAAATTACTATTATTAATCTTCTCAACATACATTAATTTATAGCCTTCCATAATATCTATAGATCTTTTCCTTTTAAATTATTTTCTTGAAGACAAATCACTTTTATTTTATTTTCAAAAGTATGTCAACTAGTTATCTTGTCATTTGCCGTCAAAGCATACGACTTCTTTGTAGCAAATTTATTCTCAATTTTAAACCTAATCAGAAAAATTAAGTCAAGTTGGTGCATAACTTGTAGGTGACTTCTTAGCTTACCATTATTTTCTTTTCACCATCATCAGAATAAATTACATTGCATCACATATTGATGCAACCTAAGTTCTAAAGCCAAGTAAGAGAACACTAGGTATGCAAATAGTCACTTCCTTTCAATATAACTTAAACAAACACAATAAATAAAAATAGGACACAACAACACTTATAATAGAACAGACACAAGACACAACTCCACTTTCAACTTGTAAAAAGAAACACAACTTACAACTTGTAATAAAAACCTGGACACAACTCAACTTACTATTAATCAAAGTTTCGAGAAAAAAAACACAGGTGGAATGAAAACCGTTGAGAGAAGAAATATATAGAAGTCACCAAAATAGGATAGCTCGCAAACTAAAAATCATTAGGTTTCACATTCCAAAAATTCATCACAAATCTCCCTCTTTCCATTCCACAAATGGAATTAGCCATTATTTATATGAGAAAGAAGGAGAAATTGCATTAAATAGACCACATAAATGTGCCCCCAAAATAGCCAATAGAAATCCTTCAAAATAGCCCTCATTAAAACACTTTCACATAGGAATCAGCAAGGAACAGTACACGAACAGCCAACAGCAGGGAAAAATGGACCCAACATGGGGAAGACCAACAACCAATCATGGGGAAGACCAAACAACCACATGGGAAGATAAAAAATCCCTCCAAATCTGCCCCTACCTTGACTGCATCACATATCAATTAATACCCTAGCAAATTATTTCATACTTTTCACTGGAATTGTAAAATATCTAGTGTATTGCTTTTGGAGGATGCATTAGCACCCAAAAAGTACAAATTTAGATTCATTTTCATGAGTTTTGCATAAGATATATGTTTGGTTTTTGACCTAAATAAACATTCTATATTTATCATATAAGATTGAGACAAATGACATCATTGCATAATTACTTTAATAGAAACCACAAAATCTTTGAGTTTCAATAAACATTACTCCTACTTTCTTATCCATTGAATTTTAAATCTAGAGGCCCGGATCATCTCAACATCATGAGCTACACTGACATCGCCTCTAAGCCATCCTAAACCATCACTCATATCCCCCCAAGTCGTTGCCACTAAACAGTTCAACAATTGGCACAACATTGATTTATGTCCAAAAAAAATCATTTTCAGCTACTGGTTAGCTACATAAAACCCTTGCACCTCCATCCACAATATCATTAACATTGAGTCGAACCCAAACTCTAGTACTCTACCACCAACTCATTTGAAATCATTTTTTATTGTTTGTTTATGATATAATAACACGAATAACAAAAGCATCATGATAACTATTGAATCTTTTTTTTTTATGAAGATTTTATAAATAAACTTAAAAAATCATTAAGTTATTCACAGCTAATTATTTTATTTGATATTATGATAATGATTTTATTTATGTATATAATCTTTTTCTATAAACTTGTCCATTACTTCTATAATATTTTTAATAATTCTTTTGATATAAATTTTTTTAGTTCCCATCAATTCTTCAGGGTAGTAATTTTTCCCTTGCATTTTCAAAGGGTGTTTGCTAATTGAAAATGTCTATAACCACAATATATATTTTTTAGTTGAACTTGAAGTAAAAGGGGCATAATAAACATAAGAAATAACTATGATATGCATGATCAAATCCATTGTTGATAAGGGTGTGAATCTACATCAAAGATCAAATATCCATAGAAAATCAGATCAGTTTTTAGACAATTGAGCTCAAATTAAAGTCAACAAGCCAGATGTAAGTTGATTGAACTTGAATTATGCCAAGCCTAGATCAAATTGAGTTAGTTCAAGATTTAATTGAAATGCTTATCATGTAAAACATGTATTTAGGAGTGTGCATATAAAAATATGGTTATGTAATTGTTTTGAATTAATATCGATATGCATCTATTGATTGGATGCATGTATGCATGTTGGACTAATAATTTATATTAGGACATAAAAAATCAATTAAGATTAAATTGATTTTATCTGAAATTGGGGTTGAATTGACATTAATTGTGTCTAGCTCAAATCAAGTTTGATCAAGCCGGCATACAAACAAACCCAACTGAGCTTAAGATCAAATCGAATGAATTTTTACCAATCTTAAGGTAGAGTCAAATCGGTTTTTTTTCAAATTGTTAAACACCCTAATTGTTAATGGCTCCATAATTTAGTAAGGCATTTACAACTAAAAAATAAAAAGGTACAATAAATGCATAATTTTTTCCATGAACTCAACCAAATCTATGCAAATGTTTTTTTTTCTAGCTTGTTTCATCTTGATATATGCATACTTTTTTTATATAAATTCATAAGTCCAGCTTGTTCAAAAAGTGGCAAAAAAATATATTATCGTATTTCGATGTTATAGTAAGTTTTGAATCAGTGGGATATTACCATTTTTCATTTTATCTTTTATATGTAATTGAGTATATCATATTCTTTTGTAGGGTGTTAATGCGAAAAAATGCACATAGCATGCGAGAGTTTAGACTTTCTGACTATTTCAAGCGGTGCTTTTCTAGCAGTCTAAACATCAGCACTAACAAGGAGCTTGCCCATGCGTTGGCTTCTATTCCTCCTTATCAAATTCACTTTTCTCAAGTAAAAGTTATGCATCTCTATTGTCAGGTCAGTAGAAGTTTTTTTTTTTTGGCTTTCCTAATCTTTAATAAGTATTATGTGCCATTTAAATGATGGGAGAGGTGCTGGATATTTTCTGGTTAATATTAAGGTGTGCATATCTTATTTTATCGTTTACCATGACCCATGAACTTCTTATAGTATGTAACAATATCATAGTCATCTGAGTGTGAATACTTTGATGATGCATATTGATGCAATAATGTGTTGGCCTATATGTTCAAAGTTTCTCCAGTGTTCTTCAGATATTGGTCATCCCCACTCATTAATTTTTTTTTAAATTTTATTTTACTTATTGTTTGTTCAAGACTGTACGTTTAAGTGGTGTTCAAGCCATTGAACTTTTCATTTACTATAAATTAGATGTTTCATAGTGCATGCAACAAAGATATATGAGAAGTTTAAGATTTGGTATGCCAGAATAAAATTGGTTAATTTGTATATAACTTAAGATTGCAAAGTCAATTTTTGACAATTGACTTAATATTGACAGGAGCACAAAAGCTTGAAATGCGCATTGATGGTCAATATATTGTAATGTACATTTATCGATGTAGTAGATTAGAGAAAATCATACATCGAATACTGACAAAAGGAATCTTATGTGATGATAGATACAAAATGAATAAGTTAAAGAAGGCGACCAACGTGTATATAGTGAATGATTAGTAAGCTCTTCAAAGGATGTTGATTGAGAATTCTTTGGAGTTGTCTTTAATTGGTGAGTTATGCGGGTCAGCACTGAATTATTACATGTTGAGGAGTGTGTACAAAATAAATGGCATGACCACTAATTCTCTATAGTAAATTTTTAATCAAATCCGCATAGCTGACATTATAATACCTCGAGAGATAGATTAATGTTATACTATTGACTTTAAAAGAGAAACAAATATATTTTCATAATCAAACTCAGCATAGGGAATATTAATTCATCCTGAAGGATAAAATTCGCGTTTACCTATCGTTTTGAAAATGAAATTAACTAATGATTAGCTTTAATTTGCTTCCAAAGAATTTTTCAACTGCTTCGAGAGCTAAGACAATTTATTTTAATTTAGGTCCTTAGGTTTTCATAGAGGCAAGCCTTTGCAGTTAGTTAGATCTCAGAGGAGAAATTTTTTTATTAAAGTGAAGACTATACTTATATTAGATTTAAAATATCTATTATTTTTTTTATTTAACTATTTAAAAGCTTCAATCAATCACTTTGAAAATACTTTATTTATTTATTTATTTTAAATTTATAAAATTTATTTTAAAAGGTCAAAAAAATCCTTCATAAAGGAAGTTTGTGAGGTGCAAATACACCTGAAATTTCACTTGCTTGGAGTGCACTGCCAGATAACAACCTTAATGCACACATCAGTCATCTTAATGCAATGCAAGAGAAGATAATTTTTATCCCTAAGGAAGCAATGAGCTGGTTTGACACTGAATTAAATGACTCAAGATAAATACTTTAACATTTAAGTTGAAATTATTATAGCGAGAAGACTCACTAAAGCTCTAAGTTTTATCTTTTTCACATAAATTAAATTGTCTAAGTGCTAAGTCCGGATTTTTTAGAAGAATCTGGCAGCATAATGGCCCTAGCCCATAGGAAAACTATGACAACCTCTTCACTTGGGCCCCTCATACCTTCTTGTTGGCTCGTGTGGTAGGCTTTTATACATTGCAGAAAGTAAAATACATGCATGTATGCATGTTAGGATAAAGGTGTTTGTATATATGTACCACTACAATATCATTGTAAAACTAGTATACATGTTCCTACAAAGTCCGAAACATATACGCCAAAAGAAGCCTATAAAAAGGACTACCCTCTAATGCAATCTATCACCACATATGAATGCAACGCATGTATATGATGCAATGTCTGAAAGTATAGCAATGTAGAATATATTTTTTTCATTTATTATAAAAATTTGTATAACCCAGAGTCTATTGAAAAGTAAGGTGGACAGACTCTGTCATAATAAATATGATTTTCTATACCTATGAAATATGTAGATTTAGTTGTACCTGTTTATCATCTTCTTGCTCTGATTCTTCTTATAAAATTCCAAAAGAGAATGCCCTCTAAGGGAGAGTTAATTATCTTTTGGAGCCTTATATATATATATATATATATATATATATAAGCAAATATCTTTAAATATTTACAATTGTTTGACATCTTACAAATATCATATTCTAGGTACATTTTACACTGACTCTTGTAATATAATAAAAGCAATGTAAGAGCAGATATAATAAAAGAGTGTAATGTAGGTGTATAAGAACCTAATAATCTAATGCAACCTATAAGAGATTAAGGTGCGCCAACATAAATTGAAATTTATACGATATTCAGAGTCCTGAAAAATAAATAAACATAGGATGCTCTCGATGCAAAGCATCCGAAATCATATCAAATCAACCACCGACCTAGTCTAGACTAGAGTTGGTTGTCCTAGCAAATGATTTATAATATGTGAAGAAGGTTGTGCGACTTTGATATGTGAAAAGGGATTATTGTTTAAGTTACTTTATTTGAAAGTGACTGTTTATTAAATGGGAAAAAGGGTGTTTTTAATTTGAGTTTAAGTCTTGATAATTTGTTTTTTTTATTTATGTTTTAAAGTGTTCATGTTGATTATTTAATTTTAAAGAAACGTGTAGGTTAGTGCCTTTAAACTGCAGAAATCACTAACCTACAAGTCCTAAGGCTCATAATTGTAATGCTAACATTATATTCTAAAAGATAGGATCTGTTGCATAGAGTTTTTACATTTTATTAATGATTTATTAGGAGAGGGGAGAGAAAAATTATTAATTTATTAGGGGAGGGGAGAGATCGGATACCTAGCCTCCCTCCTTTGGAACTAGGCTAGGGCTTTCCCTTCCAAGACCCGCCGCCGTGAGTTTTTCCTCTCCGGTCAACTAGTTGATGGAAAATTAGCGTTCCACCAGGTACACCCAACTCTGAGCATCCTCCCCTTCAAAGACCTACATCTTTAGCTTCTTGCCCTTGCATGAATGCCCCAATGGTTTCTTTCCTCATTGATTCCTCCAGTGTAGTGGTTGTGTGATTCCATTCCTTTCTCCCTTGATTGATTTTTACCCCATGGCTTCCCCCAACCATACCCTTTCACCTCTCCCAATGCCTGGGTAGTCTCCCAAAGGGGTCGACTTCCCTCCTTCATTTTGTCCTCCCTTTGGAATACCCGATTCGCCGATCAACGGGGCCCCACGTGGCGGTCCTTGATGGAAACACTCTCCAATTCATCGCCATCCTCTTGAATCTCCTCTCCTCGTGGTTCCACCCTAGAAATTGCTGGTGATTCTTTCAATTGCATCTCAAGCATCCTTTTCATCATCTCTCATAGTTCTCAAAGCGGTTCTGAATGGCTGAAAGTTTTCCATCCACCCCGGAATATTTTTTCTCTACTCCGGCCTTGAGTTGTTCCATCTTCTTTGCTGCCATTATATGGATTTAGGCTCCAATCACAAAAACAATGAAGATAACTTGTTTTCCCGCCCAAGAAAGCGTTCTGATACCAATTTGATAAGAAATACTTGTAGAAATTGAAAGAATCTTACTTGAAATTTGGAATTTTAGCAAGATAAAACATAAATATAGCGAAATTTGGTGGCAAAACATTAGGGAAACTTGATAATTGATGAAAGGGAGGAAAACAAATATGATACAATGGATCTTCAATTCGAGAGGAAGATCCGGCTCTCTTATTCACTAGATGACAGCTAGAGCCCAAGCAAACTAAAAGAGAAATACAAATTCAGCCAAACATAACATTACCCTCACCCTACAATGAAAACAACTATTAAAAACAAACAATACAAAGTAAAAACTCCAGAGCGTCCCTCCAATTCAATTTTCCCACTCACTCGCTCCTCTCTCTCTCTCTCTCTCTCTTCCTTAGTGCGTGGACGCCAACCACAAGGGGGTGGGCTTGGCCTGGCGAAACCAAGCTTCCACATAGTATAGACCTAGGCCGGTCCCTCTCGGACCTGCCGAACTGACCCCTCCTGGGCCGGTCTAATAGTTTCCAATTTTATGCTTACTTGTTGGAAGAGTGATTATGTTTTGAGGGTGGTAAAACTCGTGCCAATGTGAGACCTAAACCATCTTCATTTTGGTGATATCTTTCTTTTATCTATCTTTTGTTCTAATGAGGTTTTTATTAGCTTTGTAAACGTTTTTTTTATTATGGTCAAATTTGATATAATTGAGATGTAGTTTGTGGTGTAGAAGTTTTTCACTGCCACTGATTTGTTGCGTTTTAAAATTTTTGATAATTTCTTCAAACTTAAATTGTAGTGTAGAGATTCAATTGCTTCCTGATCTTTTATAGTTCGAATTTCTCATTAATTTTTTGGATTTAACTGATTGTTGAGTTGTTTTTTTTGTTTCGAATTCTTGTATTATCTAGTTAGTTAACTAAACAAAATGAGCTTTTGCATATTTAGTACTCTTTGAATTGCGAATCCTAATTTCTTTTGTGTGATTTAATTTCATTGCATCTCCCTAATTACATTATGAATCCTATACATTTAATTGTCCCATGTCATTAGGATAAGACTAGTGGTGATGACGGCTGCCCTTTGTGCGGACCAGGAATTTTTTTTTTTCAGCATTCCCAAGTGGTTGATGGCATTGTTTAGTAATTGGTTGTCCTCTCAGTGTTTATTTGCTTGTTTTCTTCTCTAATTTGCCTATAGTTTTGGAGAATGACTTGGACAAGTGACTTCTGAGTATGTCTCAGAGCCTTAGAGAATTTAAAGGTCGACAGAATTTTGGAGTACGTTGTTTTTTTGCTTATGAAGAATAATTTGACATGGACCATCAAGGACTAGATATTATATTTTTATTGAGCTTGGACCTAAAAAGACTTGGTTAGAAAATATTAGGAATGACCTTTCTTTATTAGATTTAAACGAGAATTTGACCTTTAATCGGACACAATGGAGAAAAAGGATTCATG